TTTTCACAGATTACAATTTTTTTTAAATCGGGTCCAACCGGTTCTAAACTCGGTAAAAAACCGGACCGGACCGGTTTTGATGGATTCCTAGAACCGAGAACTGGCCCGGGGGTCCAAAAAAATGGTCCGGTCTGGTCCGGTTCACCGGTCCCGTCCGGTCCACCGGTCCAAATGTTCACCCCTACCTAAAATAGTCGACAAAACCTGTAACATCCGGATTCCCAGGTATCGTATTTTAGTTATTTATTTTGGGTTTTATGGAGGGACTCGGCGAGTAGACGCTCAGACTTGCCGAGTAGGATCGCGAGTTCTTGACTGGATTAATGACCGGACTCGACGAGTAGATACGTGGACTCGGTGAGTCTGCGCTGTAAAGTGAAACCCTAAATCCCCGGGCCTGTGCCCTATTTAAAGGCCTTTATGGCCTCCATTTGCGGCCAATCCACCCCAGAGAAACCCTAGAGAGAGCAGTGAGAGAGTTGAGAGCAAGAAGAGGCTAATACATCACTTTTGGTGTAGTTTTGCTAGAAGGAAGAAGGAAACACCCATCTAGAGCGTGAAGGGAGCTTGAATCTGGGCTAATCATCTTGAGAGTTCATCTCTGGAGGTATAATCCCTTCTATTTCGTGTTGATATGATAGATTTCATGATTTTAGGGTTTTTACCTCCATTTTATGTAAGATCTAGTGAGTATGAGGCCCCCTTTGTGTTAATAGCATCAGATCTGGACCATGAGAGGTCCATAGAGTCACTATCCCTCAGCTTTATGCAAGCAAATGAAAGATTGGGGACTAGGTTGCAATTTTTAGAGTTATTTCTCCATTTATGACTTGTTGTGGGTTGCATGCACGTAAAGGTTGCACCTTTACGTGACATTTGAACATTTGAAGGGTAGATCTGATAGTTAGGGATGCAGATCTGACCTTAGGAGGTTATTTGAGGATGAACATGGAGGCAACTCGCCGAGTCCATAAGTGGACTCGACGAGTCGAGTCGGGGTTGCCCCGCGATTCGTGACAGGTGTAACCCGTCGAGTGGAAGGATGACTCGACGAGCCAAGAGAGGCTGAAAGGATTCAGAGGACCCGCATGGACTCGCCAAGTCGCCCTTGTGCACTCGACGAGTCGGGTCAAAGTTGACCGTTGACTTTCGTTGACTTTAGGGTTCTGGTCAAGACTGATTCAGGAGAGTTCAGGGAAGGGTAGAATGACCTTCTACCCAATCTGTAGAGATGAGATCATGAGTGAATATTGATCGGGGATGTTATTTGAATAATATGAGGAGGCTAAGTCGAGACGTTGAGTACGAGAGTTTATCCGATTTCATTGAGGTGAGTCTTCTTACTATACATTACCTAGAGTGGTATTTATGTGTAGACCAGAGGGTCTTGTATGCTATGTGTATATATATGAGTTATGTGCATTGTGTTGTATGCATGCTATGTGTTGAACAGACCGGGCCGGAAGGCCCAACGATATAGACCGGACCGAAGGGTCCAACAACACAGACTGGACCGAAGGGTCCGACGAGCTATGACCGGACCAGAGGGTCCAACGAGCTACGAGACTGGAGGGTCCCGCTGAGACACATCGACCGGAGGGTCGTATTGTAGCCTCGAGTGGCGTATGTGTTGCATGTGGTATTTTGGGGAACTCACTAAGCATTTATGCTTACAGTTGTTGTGTTATGTGTTTCAGGTACTAGCGAGGATCGCGGGAAGGCGCCGACATGATCCGTACACACTGAGAGGATTTATGTATTTGAGGATCTTGGGATTTGTTTATTGAGATAACATGTGTTACATTGGATTACTATGATATTTTATGAATGAGAGTGTGTTTTAAAAATGAAAAATTGTTTTGGAAATTTATTGTTACAAAACCGTAGATCATCAAAGACACCTACTAATTTCGGGAAAGGTCTATGATTTTGAGGTACATTATAAAAAAAAATCATTTTTTACAACGAAACCGTAGGTGATTTATTCACCTACGGTATGCTCTCAAAAAAACTATTGTTTGTTGTGCGTATGAACATGAAGAATGAAATCGTAGATAAGTACTGCCATCTACTATTTCTTTAGAAAACCTACTATTTCGTTCTTGGCATTTAATTTTTTTTCAATCAAACAACCGAATCAACCCAAATAACATACCATATAATCAAACTATATCAATATACAAGGTCGAAACAAAATATATATATATATATATATATATATATATATATATATATATATATATATATATTACGCAAACCGTAGATACGGTATGTCATCTACGGTGTACAAACTACTAATGTACAATTTGTGCATTGTCATCTTGTACATCGTAGGTGGCATACGACATCTACGGTTTCCATATATTTTTTTTTCCTTTTTAAAATATATATATATATATATATATATATATATATATATATATATATATATATATATATATATATACTCACAACTATTAGATTCCATAGTAATGATAAAAAAAAATGAAAATTTTCAACTTTATATATTATAGGCTAATGGGCCCTGATACCGTAGATGGGCTCCAAAACAGTAGCCCATTATCCATAAACCGTAGTTCATTTAATTCGTCTATGACGAAACCGTAATTTTAAGAGGAAACCGTAGGTTTCGGTAATTATCTAATGTTTTCGTTGGCTATTTTTTGCTATTAAGTGAAAAGTAATTAGGTAATTTTGCTAGTTTTGTCATTTTGTTATAAAATAAAGGGTTTTTTTTTCTCATATATGTTAACTTTGGGTTCAAAAACATTCAAATTATATTATATTATATTATATATATATATATATATATATATATATATATATATATATATATATATATATTAAATCCAAAGGAGCTTAGGAATAGTATCTTTTTAGGCTTTAGGTTTTTGTCACAAAAGTTTACTGAATTTGACACTTTTAGTCCCTAAAGTCAAAATTTTTACATTTTTGCTTTTTAATTAAGTTTTTGTGCCATAAGGTTTTTGCCACAAATCTTTAATGACTTTGACACTTTTAGTCCTTGCAGTCAAAAGTTTTACATTTTGGTGTTTTTGCCACAAATCTTTAATGAATTTGACACTTTTTGTCCTTGTAGTCAAAACTTTTACATTTTGACATAAAAAACACAGAAAACTTCATTTAAAATATTGCCACCATATTTTCCCAACTTTGACAACTTTAACATTATTGCCACAACATTTTTGGATTTTCTCCACCAATGTCCCTTCTTTTCGTTGTACACTTTTGACATCTAATTTTAGGGGTTGTCGACTTTCTCCCCTATTTATGGTGATTTACAATTTCAGCACATATTTTTTAAAATTGGCCGATTTTTTCCATATTACCCCAAAAGCGGCGTAGCCGCGGGTTCTTTACTAGTTATATATATATATATATATATATATATATATATATATATATATATATATATATATATATATTAAATCCAAAGGAGCTTAGGAATAGTACCTTTTTAGGCTTTAGGTTTTTGCCACAAAAATTTACTGAATTTGACACTTTTAGTCCCTAAAGTCTAAATTTTTACATTTTTGCCTTTTAATTAAGTTTTTGTGCCTTAAGGTTTTTGCCACAAATCTTTAATGATTTTGACACTTTTAGTCCTTGCAGTCAAAGGTTTTACATTTTGGTGTTTTTGCCACAAATCTTTAATGAATTTGACACTTTTCGTCATTGTAGTCAAAACTTTTACATTTTGACATAAAAAACACAGAAAACTTCCTTTAAAATTTTGCCACCATATTTTCCCAACTTTGACAACTTTAACATTATTGCCACAACATTTTTGGATTTTCTCCACCAATGTCCTTTCTTTTCGTTGTACACTTTTGACATCTAATTTTAGGGGTTGTCGACTTTCTCCCATATTTATGGTGATTTACAATTTCAGCACATATTTTTTAAAGTTTGCCGATTTTTTCCATATTACCCCAAAAGCGGCGTAGCCGCGGGTTCTTTACTAGTATATATTAAATCCAAAGGAGCTTAGGAATAGTATTCTTTTAGGCTTTAGGATTTTGCCACAAAAGTTTGCTGAACTTGACACTTTTAGTCCCTAAAGTCAAATTTTTACATTTTTGCCTTTTGATTAAGTTTTTGTGCCTTAAGGTTTTTGCCACAAATCTTTAATGACTTTGACACTTTTAGTCCTTATATTCAAAGGTATTACATTTTGGTGTTTTTGCCACAATTCTTTAATGAATTTGACACTTTTTGTCCTTGTAGTCAAAAGTTTTACATTTTGACATAAAAAACACAAAAAAACCTCCTTCAAAATTTTGCCAACATATTTTCTCAACGTTAACAACTTTAATATTATTGCCACAACATTTTGGATTTTCTCCACCAGTGTCCTTTTTTTTCGTTGTACACTTTTGACATCTAATTTTAGGAGTTGTCGACTTTCTTCCCTATTTATGGTGATTTACAATTTCAGCACATATCTTTTAAAGTTTGTCGATTTTTTCCATATTACCCCAAAAGCGGCATAGCCGCTGGTTCTTTACTAGTTATATAATCAAACCACATACTCCGTTGATAAAATTCAACGACCATAGGGTCTTGACTTTTATAATCAATCGTAGTCGTTAATTTTTCGATCAAACGGTCAAAAACTCTTGGTTGTTAATACCATCAACTTTTCGATCACCATGCTACCATGGTGGTGGTGGTGACCATATCTTAATTACATGTCCATTTCGAATAGAACTTATGGTTTACTCTGTTGATAAGCTTTGTAAAATTAAGCTGCATATCGATCATACAAAACCAAGTTTGATTTTGTTTCTTCATGGAATTAGATGTGCCTCGGATCACACATTCTCTCTCTAACTATTGTTTTTGTATGATTTTGGCGTGACAATCAAAGTGTTATTCAAATTAAGATCACCAATTAACATATGAAGCATATTGAGATCAATCAGAGTGTTATTCAAAATCAATTACACAAGCAACAAGCTTTATCATTATGCTAAAAAGATGCATACATCAAGTGAGATAACCAAAATCCTTCATCACTTGGATTCCGTAGGGAAAGGATTGAAGCCACCATCCAGCATTTTTCTGAGTGGTCCAAACATCGGTTCAGGGAGATTCTTCAAGTCATGCCAAACCCAACCTTCACACTTATCAGGCTCGAGGTTTTGAGGTGTTTGTTCAGGGTCTGAAAGATGTGCACGCATGAAAACAGCAACAAGATGCACTTTATCAGAAAGGACGAAACTGTTGGCTGTTAAAAACTCTATGTTCTTGATCTCTAGTCCTGTTTCCTCCTTTACCTCTCTTGCTGCACATTCCTCAAAGCTTTCACCTGTGATTCCGTATGTTTATCAATCGTTACCCTGCTTTACAGATTGTTCACATACATAACTATATCTATATGCAATTGATTTATCGGCGTTGAATCCAGCGACTTTCTCCGATTATCGTTACGATTTGAGGGGGAAAAGTTATCAGAAGTTAAGAAAAGGTTATATGGAATATATCCTCATAATGTTTCAAAATCAAAGGTTGATTTCCATTTCGTTTTCGAAACAAAGGTCAAATGAGAATATAGCAAAACAGGGGGTAACAGTGATGAGCATTAGGGTAAAGCGTGATTAGGGGTTAAAGGAGGAGAACTGACCGAACTCAAGGTGGCCGCCGGGGAGGGCATAGGTGTAGGCACCAATAGAAGAGGAGCGGCGACGCCCGAAAAGTATCTCATCATTCTTCAATATAAACACAGCAACGCCAATTTCCGGCGCCGGCGACATCGTTCCGTTCTCTAAAGGTCCAACTATTTTGACTCACAAAGGGAATTTTATGAATACCAAATCGCACACTCATTTTGAATATCTTGACCACGACAAAGTTAATACTTTAAAATATACTATTTTCAGGTTCTTATCGGTTATAGGGCCGGTCCATGGGCCTGTGCGACTGCCCCGGACCCACAAATGTCAAGGTTTCAATATTTAACTTGTTTTATTGGTTATATACTTATATATCAACAACACATTACTTTTTAGCCTGTTCAAAGCCCAATACTCTAATCAGCCACTAATCCAAAAGATGGAGCGTGAGACAGCCCTATCAAAAATACCCGATATCCGAATTACCCGTCCGATTTTTTCGGATATCAGATAAATCGGGTCGGGTAAATCGGGTAAATTTTTTCGGATAATCGGATAACCCGATTTTTTTTTCAGGTCGGGTAAATGGTACGTTTGTTGGGTTTCGGGTATACCCGAATTACCCGAACTACCCGAATTATTATTATTTTTTTTTTTGTAGAGCTTGTACTCTGTAGCAGGTATTTGATCACGCTTAAACTAAATTTCATTATTGTAAAACATGAATCTCTTTTATTATGACAATATGACACTAACAATATTAAAAGTAATTGTTTATATATCATCATGTTCTTTAAAACTTAATTGTTTTCTAGATTATAGTTTTTATTGCAACTAATAAACTCATTATCTTGACGAAACTTCAGAACATGGCAAAACTTATGGCTACAATTATCTTAAACATTTTAAACTTTTAAATTAAGATCTTTAAGTATTTGTTTTTTTAACATCTTATTAGATTAGATTAAGTTGTTAAAAAATTACACAATATCTCAAGTAGTATTGACTAAAAAATATCATTGTTCAATGCTTGAGTAACTTCGTTTATGCCTCGTTTGTTTATACAAACAAGACTAATAAAGCACGACGTATTTATTTCATTAAATTTATTTTCAGGTGAAATTCAAAAAAAAATTATATATTTCGGGTAATACCCGAATTACCCCAACCCGACCCGATACCCGAATTACCCAAACCCGAATTACCCGAATTTGATTTGGGTCGGGTAACGGGTATTTTTTTTAACATAAAAAACCCGAATTACCCGAAACCCGAAAAAATTACCCGATCAATACCCCTAGCGTGGAAGGTAACGAGACTTTTTTTTTTGAAAGAGCGGAGGTAACGAGACTTACCTGGCGTGCGTCTGACTTCCAAGGTGTCGTAACTCTTCAATTGTCAGGTTTCTATGGAAAATCCAAACATTGTTATGGAAAATCCAAACGGCGACTTCTCCAAAAGAACGAGTTAACGATCATTCTTATATTTCTTATTCAAGAATTCAAGTTAATCGATTACTTCTCATTCTTTTTCTGATTTTCTAAATTCGTCGACAACAACCATTAGTGAATCAAATATTATTTAAGAATTGAGAGACTGATTGTGTCTCGTTCTTTTCACGATTTCAGAAAATGAGAAACCCGATTGTTTCCCTTCTAGTTTTCGATTTCCTTTTTCTGATATAGCACCAATGTGAAGTTAATCAGGCTATTTGATTTATTTTTGGAATCTGACCTAGAGAGTTGAATCGAGAGTTACAGTCACCGCCTCAGTTGGATTTCTTTCTCAATCGTTAGAAATTTGAAGTTTCAGTCTTTTGTCTTTCAGAATCGACTGTTAGAGATGAAATTGATTTCTAATAATCTGATTGTGAATCCCTATATGTTCTATCGTTCTTGAAATTTCTTATTCTTTTTTGAAATTCGATTTTAATGAAGTTGTTCAAGTTAGAGACAAAATCAAATTTTAATCGTTTTAAGTTAGAGACAGTTCTTCAACTTTATTGCTTAATTTCGATTTGTAATGTTAATCTTCTTAATTTTGATTTATAAATGTTACTCTTTTATTTCTATTTCTTTGCCTTTGGTATATATAGAATTTTTTGCTGCTATATTGAGTTTTCCAACTGCTTAGAGGTTATTAACAACCAGCAACAAGTACTCTCGATTTAAGGAATTCACCTAACAACTTTTTGTCGATGATAAATCTACTTCAGTTGGATGGGAATAACTTGTGTACAGAAACAAAACTGGACTCTGAAAGTTAATTAAGAAACAAACGGGATGAGACTTTAGTGATTTTATACTTACTTTTAGAATTTTCTTATTAAGGCATTAAACTATAACAAACTCACCTCATAATAGCATTGTACTTTTAGTTTTCCCCATTTTATGATTGTATAAATTTAATTGTATTGTTATTATATGTAAAACAATGTAATATACATATACTTAAAATTTTCGAAGGGCCCTATTTTAGATTTGTCCCCTGCCTCAAATCATCTTGGACCAAGATTTGTAATACTGATTCAGATATAAAAAAACTATAAACTTTATTTTTATTTTAAAACCTTCAATTATAAAAACTTTTATAATTTTTTTAAATAAAAAATCCATTAATTTTGTTTAAAATACGCTAATGGAGAGTTAGATGTCAATAGTCTTGCTTTTGTGAGATGGTGGATGGTAGAACAACTACTTCATATAAATAGTAAATACGACCTATTATAGAGAGTTTGGTAGTACAATCCAACTTTCAAAATTTTGTAATGTAGTGTAATTTTTTTTTTTTGTAAACATTTTGATTGGACAATGACATTACTTAAAAAAACATGTTAATATGTGTCTTATCATCATAATTCAAATATGATTGCTATACTAGATTTTTGTCTACTATCATCGATTTAACACTTGCGTATTACATTACCAAACCAATCAAAATTGTGTCCTCATCTGATTTCAATTGCCTATTAAGACAATGTTATTAAATCTTTTTCAAAAAATTGTTAGTAAGTCAATAACACATACGAAATGGTTATACATGTGCTTTTAGGTCACCTACATATTAAATTAAGAAAAATACTATTAAAAAATGCATAAATGTTGTTAATAATAACGATATTAAGTAGAATGTTATTATCAATGCTATTAGTAACAATGATATTTAGTATAATGCTATTGTCGATGCTATTAATAACAATGATATTTAGTAAAATTTTATTATCAATCCTATTAATAGCGATGATATTAGTACAATGTTATTAACAACATCGCTATTAATTGACAATTGATGTTAAGAACGATGCTAGTAAGTACAGTGTTGTTAACAAAAATGTTATTAACATCACTATCAAGTCAAGAACACACAAATAATAGTTATACACTTGTGTTTAAGTCAACTTCATATTGCATTACATGAAATGTTATCAATAACATCGTGTTATAGAAAGTATAAGTATCAAATTTTGTATTTCATTAACTTCTAAAAGTGTAATACAAAGTACCAATTTTGAAAATCTATAACATGTTTATAATATACTATAAAAAACTTTCATAACTTCTCGACACTATTATCCACAAAATGTCAAAATACTTTTTTTCCAAAACACTCTATCCATAAAAGTTTTCCTATCAATAGAACGTGTTCATCAAAATTATACCCCATCTACAACACCTTACCATTTATAGAACCTACCATCTTTTTACTTTTCACATCTTCTTCGCCTTTAATTTATACGTCACCTTGTACAATTAATTCACTCTTCACCTATGTTTCACTTACACATCTGCTTCACTTTTCACATTTGTTTCCCCTTGCACCTTTGTTTCACCCCCTATTCCACCTTTCACTTCTTGATCAACTTTATGATCAATAAAAATCATTGCATTGTCACCATCTAAATACATCTTAGGTCCTACATCATTATCCATTTTATCTGGTAACTTTATACCCTTAATGTTTCATATGCAATGATCTTATTCCCATTATGAATACCTTGATTTAAGAAATATCTAAAACAGTTACTATATATCGTAAGTCTTAGCACTTTAGATAATAGCTCGTTAATTGGGAACATAGTAATAAAATAATATAGATTTATTCCTTTACAATTTCATTACTAAATAAAGAAAAGTCACCATAGTATATATTTATGACATCTGCATCAATATATGTAATGCCCGTAAATTCGAGCTAGATGTTTAAGATATAATAGATAATCTTAGCTAAAGATGTAGTAGTCATAATGACTATCTCGGTGATATAAGGACCGCTTAAATCCGATTTCATATGAAGAAGCTATGCTTCTTCGAAGTTTCGCAATCAAACCAACACGGCTATGCGCGTCATGAAAAGTGAATCAGAGATTGATTGCTTACACTACTAGAAAAATACCCTTTAATGACACACATTGTGTGTCATAAAAGGGTACAGATGACACACAAATGTGTGTCAAAGAAGGCCATGTCATAAAGGAACATGACACGCATTTGCGTGTCGTAACCTTACGACGCGCATATACGACACACAATGCGTATCATTAAAGCCTATGTCATAAAGAAAGACAACACAAATTTTTGCGTGTCATAATTTTAAATGTTTTAAAAATATATATTTTTAATAGATTTACTTATTTTCAAATTAAATGACACATTTAAAGTTTTGTAATACAAAATAAAATACCATACACAACAAAGATAATTCATTGCACAAAATATAATATGTCAAATACAAATAATCATTCCAATAGTAACTAAATGTAATAAATTGCTAATATTGTATAATATTTATTATAGAAAAACAAAACACAACATTAAAATGAACTCGTGAGTAAATTCTCATTTGATAGTCTTCATGGCAGCTTTAAGCCTTGAAACTTCAAGTGTTGACTTTTTTTCAACAAATTTCCTGCACTTGAGGACATAAAATGACTTACGTAGTAAAAAGAGTAAATTATGTTTTTTTCAGGTCTAATCAACTAAGTATGCTGCCATTTCTTGCATTTTAACCAAAAATGTCTAAATGCATGAAATAGCAACTTACCTCAACTTATTTCTAGTAAAAGAAGCTTAAATGCAAGAAATAGCAAAGTATATTGCTATTTTCTGCACTTGGGGACATAAAATGACTTGTGTAGTAAAAGGAGTAAATTATGTTTTTTTTAAGTCAAATTAATTAAAGTATATTGCTATTTCTTGAATCTTAACC